CTACTACTACTACTACTACTACTACTACTACTACTACTACTACTACTTTACTACTACTACTACTTCTACTACTAGTACTACTACTAGTACTACTACTACTACTACTACTTCTACTACTACTACTACCACCACAACAACAACTACAACAACTACTACTACCACTACTTTTTACTATTGCTACTGCTACTGCTATTTTCAAACTATCTACTGCTACGGCTACTGCTACTAGTATTTTTCATTTGCAGAGCCATCTTGCGCATCAATTTACATATAGACGGTGCCTTTCCCCAAAACAAGTCGCAAAAGGATTGAACAAACAATAGTAAGCCAATATATAATATATATATAATATATATAATAGACATAATATAACATACAATATATATAATATACAATACACATAGACACACACAGTCTGTAAAGTACCCTGGCAATCCAGCTGGTATGAAGCCAATAGCTCGATGTACAGACGAGTCTTACCATGACGAACATTTTTACTGTGGCCGTTAGACCTTTCTTTCGTCGTTTCGTTGCTTGTTCAAACGTTCTTTGACGTCCCGTGTTGCACCTGCTAAGCTAGCGATGGAACCATCGCTGATGGATATCGGGGGGTATCGAGAGCCCAGGTGAAGACCCTCACAGAGGTCTTCCGCGAGGCAAAGATCTCCGAGGTGAAGCTGGACGCCTTCGAGGAGGCGCCAAAACGAAGCTATGTTTTTTGTTTCTTCTTATTTTCCTTCTAAGGCCTTTCTTCATTTACTGAATATTGTGTTTAGACAACGTTCTCCTTTGTCCATGTATCTACAGTATTTTTTTTTTGAGACTCAGACTCTCGATATTTTTGTTTTTGTCTCAAAACGCGGCTTCCTGCCAAAGCAACATTGCCCTTTCAGAACCTCTAGATATATACCCAAGGCTTTGATGAGGATTTGCACCTTGTAGAGCCGCTGAAGCTTGATTGAGGGATGCATGGGAATCCAAAGAGACACTATGGGTGAATGCCAACCAATGTAAACTTGGGCCAGCTCCTGGAATCTATCGGACTAGGTCCGCTTGGAACGATTTGTTGCTCTACTACCTCTTTTTGTGGAAAGGGGGCAGGAAAGAATCCAATTAACCTTCTTTGGGAGACATCCCTAAAGTGTGTGGTTGGTTGGAACCGATCGCCTGGGCCTAGAACGTTCAATTGAAACCATTTTCAACCCCAAGGATGCAGTTGGAGATATCAATTCGCAACTCCTCCCTTTTCAGATCCTTTCCGTAGTGAGAGACTTTGTATTTAAAGGAAGAGCGAAGAAACAGAAACGAAGGTCTAAAGGAACGAAGACACATCAACAAGAAAAGACAGGTCCAAGGGTATAACCAAAAGCGACAAGGGAAAGAGGAAGTAGGAGGAAAGCAAGAGATACTGTATATAAGACAAGATAAATTTTCACTTTGTCACGAGGCCCGGGTAGAGATGCTTTGGACTGCCCTTGACAAGAGCCTCGAACGGCTGGACGATGCTGAAGTCAGTGCGACGCCAGCGCAGAAGCTTTTGTCATCAACACCAAGGCCTGAAACAGCACCTGGGATTGAACAGTTCAAAGTTCAAACACATTTTTATTTTCTTTTGCTCTGTAACAACGCACTAATTAAGCCTCGTTCTTTCCATGATACACTTGATGGGCAAACAAACAGATAAATCATACCTGCAACGCTTCTTGAGAAATTTCTCAAGTCAGGATGCCACTCAGTCGTCTCCTCCGAAGCTGGGCTGTGATTGAGGTTTCTTTTCCTTTGAGTTGAAAACCCGAGTCAAACAGCAACCGACCACTTGTGACTTTTTCAAACCTTTTCTATCCTTTTCTTACGGATCATAACAAAATATACCGTTTAGCTACCTAGGCATCTAAGTTGACCAGCTGGAGTCTGATTGACTTGCTGGCAATTCTCGTGCACCCAGGAAACCCTTCTTGAATCGCTTGCTGCCACTGATCGAAGCATTCTTCGTCTTGCACGGCCGGGCAGAGGAGGGCGACGCCCGGAGCGAGGCGAATAGGCCCACGATGACCGAAGGTGGATCGGCTTCTTCCCAGCCAGCGAAAGCGCAGCTCGGCAGACACAGGGGGATTGGAATGTTGAAACAGAGAGGTGAGAGAAGTGCGAAGTGCGGATTGCTGGGACTTTAGGTTCGGGTTTGTTACATGGTCATTCAGAGCAGCCCTCCAGAGTCTGTTTCCTCACTTGAGCTCTGCATGATTGTATACTGCTCAGGCAACCGGCTCGTATGACCGGCGCACGGCAGTCTTGTCAGAAGCAACTGCTACAGCTCCAAAGCACTAACCTCCATCAGCTTAGGCCGAAGCATGTCTTCGCGGAGTTTCATGAGCAGCGTGGCTGAATGAATGTCCGCTCTGAAAGAGTAATTATTAAGGCGTTAACATGATTCAGGCCTAAACACGGATTCCCCGATCCATATTCTCTTTATAGATATGTGATATGTGTAGATTTGCTTGCCGTTGCTTGCCCACGTAGTGAGAATTGTCAAATTGCAGGCAGTCTGCGGCGGAAAAGAGCCGCTTTGGCCAGTTCTGCAAGAAGCACCGCCGCCCGTTGAGACTAAGCTGCATCGCTGTGACTGCTTGTGGGTGATGCAGTATTTCGCTGGTACATCAACTTCATGATTTTACATGATCTTAGTAGGGTAGGGTAGCAGATATCGGGGAAAAGCAACTATAGCTGGAAGCTGTAGCATACTTTAGGTATGGAATCGACCTCCGGTGCTTGGATGCCTTAGAAGCAGGCCATATCGTTGTGAACGCTTCGGCCCCGAGGAACGCGCTGCTAAAGCAGACCCCATCTTTGCTGTCCAAGTCCTTTCAGCCGGTGCTCCAACTGATGCCCAGCTGTTTAGATTTCGACAACAAGCGAGCCTATTTCAGGCGGGGCCAACCGAGAGAAACCCTTGGCACTTCCAGTTTCACCCATGCGGAGTTTGGAGTGCTGTTTGCTGTTCTCAAATCCCCAGTAGAGCTCAACCCGAGCTTTGCGACCTCCACAGCGGTTACAATGGTCAGACGTCAAAGCATTGTGACCAGTGTCACAAACAGACCTGCACTGCCAGGTCGCAGTTGCGGCACCGTACTCAGTGGAAAAGCGGGTCATTGGAGACTCAATGGACACAGAGAGAGAGAGAGCCACCTCAAAGAGAACTTGTTTGATTCGAGAAATGTCCTTGTCTTGCGCAACTCTATGTTCTTGAGAGTGTCCAAAGGAGTCTCAACCTGCTTGAATATGGATGATCACGTGTGCTGGTACTCAGTAAGACACCAATCATCAATGCTTCACTTTCCTTGAGGCAGCAGTTGTCGTTGAACAGGTCTACTTCAGTATATGTTGTCAGATTGTCCGACTTAGAGACCCGAGTCCTGAAGTGCCGGAGGTGTTTTTACATACCGAAACAAGGGTGCCCCTAGCATACAGCTGGTCTTTGCAAACAGATGCACAGGTCCGATGATTTCCAATTGTGCATTGCATAAACCACAAATCATAAATTGTATGCCAATGTCAGTTGAACCATTTTTGCGTTTACTGTAGTTTGCCCGGATGTCGAACTAGAGTTGAAGATGCTTTTTCAAATCTTGATGGCCAGATGTTGGACACCAAAAGCATGCATGGACAACCAGCACCTGGGCTGACGATATCCCTTAGCGGAACTTTACAGGAGACGTCACAGGATTCCTTGAGACAATGTTCGACTTAGAAGATTGCTATGTCAAAGCGAGCTTAGGCCCACACCAAGCGTAAGGCGTAAGTGGTTTTCTGAGTCGTGTGTTCATGATTTTGAGGTCTCGACGCCTTGAAAGCAGATATCAAACGATCCGCTTGAGAGTTCGGCGCAACGAAATTTTCATGGTGCCAAGCTCAGAAGAAGTGTCGTGGAAAGGGGTCATCTTGGGCACAGACAAATTGGCTCAATACGTCAAGAAATTCTAATCCACTTGCATATATATATATTATATTAATTTAGATTATATTGTATTATATTATGTTGTGTTATGTTATCTGTATTATATATAATACAGTATTTAATTGTACATACAATTCCGGTGAAAGGAGGCTTGGGATGCCCAATGTATCCTCCTGCAAACTAACTAGCATGGACATTTTTTTTTCTCTGAAGGGGTCGTGCATGCAATGAGTTCAATTCCTACCTCTGGTTCTGGATTTGAGGATGAATGCCTGTGTGTGTGAGTTTGGGCACACATGACCTTCAACCAGTCAAGAATGGAGGGCATGGTCAGAAAGACGGCCAAGAATTGCCACTGAACCAACTGAAGCCTTGCACCTACTCTTAGCATTTGTTTGCCGGACGTTTGGCTTGGGTCATGAGGCTCACCAATGAACATGTGACAAAACCGTTCAGATTACAGATGCTACTGTACAGTAACGGTAACAATTGCATCCTACTGATCTCTGAGGCTCCAAATTTCTTTCCTGTTCCCGGACCTGATCAACTTGTTTCCTAGGATTCCTATCACCAGCTCCGCGTTCGGACCGGTGACGAGATGCGGGCCAAGATTCAGGTTGGGCCATCAGGGGTGCTGCTGAAGATTCTAGAGTCTTAGGGCATAGATGAGCATCGAACATTCTGGTTTCTAACATGTTTGACTCTTGCGATGATTTCAAGGTGAAGGGCACACGCGTTGAAAGGGGTTCACAGATTGCTCACAGAAAAAGTGTACGTACAATCCTAGAGGAGTATCGAAGGGGTCCCGGATGAGGGAGTGCTGCGGCGTGATGCTGCGTGGTCAAGATGGCTTGTTCAAACCCGGGTCCGGGTCTTGATAAACTCTTCACCCTCCAAATATCAACTCTGGTTTGTGCGATAGCTTGAAGCAAAAGGTGGAAGGTCGCCGGTTTTGACAAATAGAATGGACCCCTCTTTTGTGTCTGTGAGAAACGAAACGCATTGTGTCGTAGCAGCATCAAAGCATGGATTCGAGGGGGTCTGTTGTGCAGCTTGTTTGGATGAAGGAGTGCGAAGGTGATTACATAGCCTCATCCTCACTGGAGTGAAAGCTGGATATCGATTAATTAGCTCAAATCTCGGTGGACCTACCAAAGGGCGAGGCATAGCAAGGCCAGCTAGAAGGCCAGCAAAATCCAGCAACATCTCTGCCATGGCCTTAGCCCACTTAAATTCTGCGAACAAAACTCTGCGAAAATGGTCCCCGGGCAGCGTCCGTAAGTGTGCCAGACGTCGGTTTCGAAGCCTACGTAGACGTAAACCCACTTGTCATCCAATCGCTAGTTGGAGGCCATTGCTATTAGGTTGGAGAAGACTTTGCACTTGTGACGTCCCGCGAGTCGAATCCACAGCGGCCCAAAGTCGGAACAGAGGCTGGGCCCACAAGCAAGGGCCAGTGTCGCAGCCTTTGGTATCCCAGGCATTGCCCCACCTAGACACACTCTAGTCCTAGGACGGGGTCGGTATGGTAGCAATATCTGCTCCAAGAGATCATGAGTCATGAGTAAAGCTACTGAGCAAGAAACGGAGGAACTTTCATGAATTTCCACGAAAGGTCCAATTTCAAGGCGAGGAAGGAATTGATGCTGGAGGGGTGGCCAAGGACGGACACTGGGCGAAGAGTCGAGAGATGAGAGACGTTGATTTCCAGTAGGCCTACTTTAACATCATGTGCATTCAGCTCTCTTAGTTTTGGTTGAGCCAGCGCTACTTCAAGTTGTACTTCAAGTATCTTCAAGGGGTTGTTGCATAACCCACAAATCGCCTCAACTACTTGAGGCAAATGGATTGTTTTTTCTTTTTTGCAGGGAGTGCAATAATTCCTTGTTCCTTTGTTGTTGATTGTATTGTGTTATAATATGTACTAATTGCCGAAGGGCACTCAGAAGGTAAAGCTTCCAACCTGCTCAAAGAAGACATCTTTTTGATCCCTCTTGCGGCACTATGTGGAAAAGCAACAGCACCACACATAGCAACTTGGAGCAGCGCTGCAGTCAACTCCAATAGGTCGAGGTTGGTTCAACATTTTAAAATCAGCTTTGCTTCTGGCCGACAACGGAACCGTAAGGGCCTAAGGGCCATGGGGGCCACGTTTGCTTTGTGCCACACATTTTAGCGCAGGAATGGTATGGAGCGCTTGCGAAGGAAATTTTTAATCCGAACTACGTGGCTTGGCTGCATTTGGTTTCTGCCAAGATAGATTGCGGCTGCCATGCAGAGAGATGTTCTCGAGGTGCCCTAGCGAAAATCCCTTCAGCCATGGGTGAAATACGGTGCACAAAACATACTTGCTCCTCAGTTAAAAGTACAAGGGAACGCAGCCAATTGATGCTATGAGCAAAACTCAACGCAGACCTGAAGCCCATGGCTATGCATGGCTGCCATGCATTCTCCTCCTGTCCACCCATCCATGGGATTCAGGCTTGCTGTCAAATACATCATGGTCAGGTTCCCGTATTTTGGTACAGGGTGGCCCCTATGAAATATACAACCTTCGGCACTTGCTCCAAGATTCATTGGCCTTGTTTTGTTGCAATTGATTGGTGGGAATTGCAGCCAAGGCGCTTTTTGTTCAGGCAGGTGGCAAGGCAGGAGGATTCGGTCATCCAGTTGATGAGCAGGCAATCCATATAACAGATTTGTTAGAATAGATCGTATCAAACATTTGTCATTCATTGGTTGGTTACGACAGGAGTGATTTGTGTCTAGAGTCTAGAATTCTATCCTGTCATCCATCAATTGTCCGTGCTCGGTGTTTTTCTCTTGGGATTTGAGTGTTGGTGTGCTTTTTGGTGGTTGCTGGTTTCTACTGACGGTGCTCTCCCTCCGAGTGTTGCAGCGTGCTTATGAGACACCGGCAAGGGGTACAGTGAGAGCGGTGGTTTAGACAAGGGCGACTTGCAGGCCCTAGACAGGAACTCGTTCCACTCGGGGTGTACGATGAAGGATACTACACTGCATGTACGAAGACGTCAGATGCAGGCTTATAATTGCAGTGTACCGCTCTACCAGGCTTGCACATACCATCCGAATCCAATGTGCTGGGCTGAGACGGGATGGCGAATGTGTGGAGTGTCTAGGATTCTATGGGGGTCCTCACATCCAAGCTGGTGATTTTTGAGCATAACAAGAAGCTACTAGTAACAAGTGCATCGCTTCTAGTAACAAGTGCCTTACTAGTAGTAACAAGCAACGTACTATAATTTGCTGGTGTTGATGACACTCTGTGTCCGGGGTGCTAGACTGGCTTTATTCATTGGGTTGGTCTCTACCTGAGGGATGCCCGATTTGGTCGGGCTTCGGATTGCCTCCAACAGGGAGGCAAAGCTTCTACGGCTGATGTTTGTGATGAGAAATCCCCATTTTGTCGATAGAGTCTAGAATCTAGAATATTTATTGACCCCAAGTGGTTGAATCAGAAGTCTGAGGCCAGGTAGACTCTAATGTTGGGTTTCTTAATCTAGGGTTTCTATTTCGTGTGCTTTGGTGATCAGACAAATGCAATTATTCCAGACTCAATTGCGAGTGTGTGAACAATTTGCAACTTGTTGTTCGGACCCATTGCTCATCAGAGGAATGGTTCTGCTCAGGTCGTATGTCAATAGAGACCATTTGCAGTTCTTCCACTTTATTGGAAGGGTGGTTGGCAAGGCAGGCAGCAGCTCAAATCCGCAGACAATGTCAAGTAGTGGGCATTTGCAAGAGTTTTGACATGTTTCGCCTGTTCTGGCTCTTTTAGCTGGCGACTGCACAAAATTGAAGATGTCCAGTGTCCAGCACCATTTGTTCCTAGTCACGCTTTGGCAAAGATAATATTCCCATGTTACACAGACGCTGGTCATGACCTTGTCCTGGCTGAGTTTCTGATGCATCTGCCTGGGTTCTTAGATTCTTAGACCCAACCTGTGCGGAGGCGATTCACGACGGACAAAACCTAGAGGCTTGGTTCACAAGAGGCTTCTACAAGCACATGCTTGGGAAGAAGGTGCGCTTCCTCAGTTTTTTTCATGTTGTAATGTACTCCGGGATTGTGTTTGTTGCTTCAACTACAGTTCTGCTGTTGTGGGTTGGAGATAGGGACCTGGCATCTCAAGAAAAGAACTGATCAGATAGGACATGCCGACTGTTTTGGGTTAATAGGACTTGGAGACATCCTAGAGAATCTTGGTTGCCCAGCCAATTCACATGTCTCAAGACCTGATGTATATTGTAGCACAAATTGCAAGGACAGAGTAAAGGCTTGAACCAGGATAGTCTTCGTCTTCAACAACAGAACACATCTCCATTAATTTGCAGCCTCAATTTCAAGTGTTGGTCACAAGAAGAAGAAAAAGAAGGAACCCAGCAACTCTTGAAGCATGGGAAGAACACATTTCTAGAATTGTTTGTGAGACCATTCTCTTAGGTCATACCCGCTGACTTGGAAGCCTTCGATCCAGAATATTTCTCCAACCTCAAATGGTCTGCGCCCTGGTTCTTGGTGGGATGCAAGGTGCTGAAGACGCTTCATATTGCCCAAATCTGATGACGTTCTGCTGTATTGTGTCTTGTTTCCATCTAAGTAAGTGGAAGTGCAAACACCTTTACGGCCAATCTTAAGTATAATAGCCTTGTTGGATCTCCTTGAATTCCAAAACACCTCAGCCTCACTCGACATACCCATCTAATCAGGTTAGGCATGGTTGGGGTTTTCCTGGGTTGTAGTTGAAATCCATTCATCTCTCGTGCCGCTCTAAGGATGTTGGATCACGCCGTAGCCTCGGATGGCCATGTGACTCCGGGTCGACTCACACGATGCAGTGGCGAGGAAATATGACATGTAGTCGAACATGCAGCTGTATGTATGCCATGTCTCCTAGATCAAGTTACGAACAGGAGTGCTTTCCAGGCTTTCCACTGCCATTTTTCTGAGCATGTAGAGACATGTAGAGACCAGCACCGCAAACCTCCAACCAACCTGCCATCTCATTCTATGGGATCGTGGGTAACATCCTTGAAACTTGAAAGTTAGTGTCAAGCTTCTGATATGAAAGCTTTTGATTCACGTAGTATTCAAAGCAGCAGCGACCTTTGATTTGCTGGAAGCATTAGGTAACATGCTAACATGGATGGTGCCAAAGTGCCCCAAGTGTGCGTGTTCACCGACCACCGTATGATTTTTCCAGTGGGTGAGGGAAGATCGCACTGTTTGGTGGCCTCCCAAACTTTTTCTTTGCGAGGGCAAATTAATGACCTAATTGTTGTTCTCTCTGTCGATAAACGTGGGCATGTATGCACATCCGTACCTTCTACTGTCCCACCACACACCTGCATTTGCTGACATGCAATACATGTCATAAATAAGCAGGTCAAGCAAAGACCCTGGGCCCCAAGCCGTACAGTCATCCACTAGAAAGCGCAAATTTGAACTGTACTCGTAGTTTTTTCAATGCAATATTTATCACTCTATACAACTCCATTCAATCGATTACATATACAGTACGTATACACTCCAAGTTGACACTGCCTACCTGGTAATGGATGATCATCTCTTCATATGTGTTCAAAATCAATCTGACTGTGGTTATGCTTTTGCCATTTCTTTTGTCTTTTCTTGTTTGGGCTAGCCGCTTAGCCACAGCGACACGGAGCAGGGACCTCGCCCAGGACATCAGTGAGATCATTGAGCTGAGCTTTTCGGCCGAGAGCGACGAGCTGGGTCAAGTGAAGGTGAGCAAATGGGTGAAAGTTGCGCGGTCTGGGTGACATGTTTGGTCTTGAAAGAGAGACACAGAGACAGCAAGAGAGAGAGAGAGGGGGAGCGAGAGCGAGTGAGAGTGAGAAAGAGAGAGAGAGAGAGAGTGAGCGAGAGAGCGCGAGCGAGCGAGGGAAGGAGGGAAGGAAGGAAGCAAGCAAGCAAGGAAGGAAGGAAGGAGGGAGAGAGAGAGAGAGATGGGGATTAGATCTCACAGACAGGAGCGGGTATCGTGCTCACTGGATCTAGGAAGCTTGAGTCGTTCACTGTTGGCACCTTATTGGGTAGCTCTCAGAGGCAAAGTGTTTGCCAGCTCAAAGATCAACCCTACAATAGTATGAGTAAGAATGGAAAAGCATTCAAGCGAAAGGAACATGGGAGGACTCAAAGGTATGGATATGAATGCAATTGGGATCAGTTTGACATTTTTTGTCTTTGAATGTTGACGGAATTTGCCAAGGAGAGTTGCAGTAGTGTGACTTAGCATCGCCGTGCCTCTTGACACCTCTTGAGCAGGTAGTCGACTTGAAGCCCAATGGACGACATCTCCCAGTCACCAACGAGAACAAGCATGAGTGACCAACTGAAGGAAATTGTTAAGCTAATTCAAATTGCTGCTTCATATTTTTGGTCGTTTGCAACCAAAGCACCGAAGTTGCGAATCGTCAAGCGCTCCGTGCTTGGGTGCTTGGTTCGAGAGGCCGAGAGGGCTTTCTGCAATCGTTGGGAGAAAAACCAGATGAAACCAGGTACATTCAGCTGGTCTCGGAGCACAAAATGTCACTATCTTAGTTGCGAAAGAATGCAAAAAGGGGTGTCGCAAAATACATCCTGCTGCTATGTACTGATTGCTGCCGCAGACTGTGACAGTCGAACTCAGTCGAAGATGGTCGAAGTAAGATTATGTGTAACTGTGTAACTATGATAACTATGTGTAATCAATCCCATGAGGCTTGGTCGCAGCTATTTATGAACCAAACCCTTACACCAGCTAAGTACCTCAGCCAGCATTTGACAGAATGCTATTTTTTTACCAGGCAGGACCAGCCCTCTTCGTGTGTCTTTGGCAGAGCATCGGCATGTCCAAGGACAAACTCGGTGCAGCAGCAGATTGAGCACTTTCTGAAAGGTGGGCTGGTGTGTTTGATTGACGATATTGATAGCAGGGGTCAAAACCTGGCCTACAGCCCGATGTTGTAGATCAGTCACCTATTTTGAAGGCTTCTCGGGACTTCACACTGATCCGGCGATCCATAATGACCATATGACAGGCTCATCAGACTCCTAAAGGCGACTTCGCACTTAATTGAGCCTCAGAACCATGTAGAGTAATAAACAAAATAAATCAGTTGTTTTGCATCTCCAACAAAGGTTATTTCCAAGCCTGCAGGTGAAAGCAATTGCAAGTATATTCCAGTGTTCAACAGTGGACTCAAATTGGAACTGTAGACTGCTGGCCCAATCTCTTGGGTCTCCACAAGGATTGCATGAGATCGTGCCGCCCCAATTGCAGCTCGGCGGTGGCAACGTAGATCTGAAGGTCAAACTGTGTAGAGACTTCAGCCTGGGCCAACATGGGTCAATGTGCAAAAGGGTCTAAAATGGATTGCTGTAATACTGCAAGTTGATGAGGTTTGGATGTCGTGACTTGACTCGTGACTCCAAGGCTTTCCTTGTTTGATGACAAGGAGTTGGAGCTACTGATCTCTGGCTTGCCAGATATCGATATTGAGGACCGCAAGTCCTTTTGTGCTGAGATAGTAAGTCACCAATCTCTGAGAATCTAGACAAGTGTGGCTCCCCGATGTTCTAGTTGTCGTTCTGCAAGCCATGGACTTGTGACTTGCCACAAAGCCGGAAGCCGATCGACCGATAAATGCTCAGGACTTGAAGCAGAATACCGAGTACCACAACTACACACCGCAGTCCGATCAAGTCCAATGGCAGGGAGCCTGAAAGAACAGCGTATATAGAACCCTTGGTTTGGTGTGGCTCCAGCGACTTTTCATTGCTTTTCTGTCATCCGTACCAGTTGTCATGTTGATGTTTGATGATGTTAATTGAACAGGGCCCAAGTTTGGTTCTACAGGAAAAGAAAGAGAGAAAGAACGAGAGAGAGAGAGAGCATGATGGAGCATGTTAGAGAATGAAAGAAATAGATGCATGCACAAACAAGGTTCTGGAAGGTCCTGAGTGAATTCACGCAGGACAGGGATGGTTAAATGCATAGCAGGTTACGACCGCTGTCTCAACCTAAGAAACGCATTGCTGCATGACTTACTCTTGTGTTGGTCGGACTGGCATGGTGAACGAGTTCGGGCAAACCCAGTTCGGACATATCTGGACCCATTGAACATCCACTGAAGAAGTACATACTCTCTATATCCCTTTATGGACAGGCTTCAGTGGACGCCAGCCATGTTTAATTACTCAATTCAAGAAGACCGGGTATAGAGGTTGCAAGGAACAGTTCTTCAAGTATCTTGAACCATGATCAAAGGTAGATACGATGAAAATCCGAAAAGTACAGCATGATTGAGAATAAGAGCGAAGAATCACACTTGGTTTCAGCATTTTGCAGCCATACTGTAATGTTGTTTTGTGTTGTGATGAACAAGATATCAGGAAAACACTCACTGAAGCTTTTCATCATGTCAGATCATACCAAATCGAAACTGCAGGCACTGTATTGTAAAGCTTGTCCGGCTCAACCCCAAGACCTTGCGACAAGCACGTTGCCCCTTGCAGGAGCAAAGAGCCTGGTTCTTGCAGTTTGCCACTGGCACCTCACGTGTGCCTGTGGAAGGCTTCAAGGCTGCCTCACCATGGCATACCATGGCCGTACCAGTAGTGTGTGTGTGTGTGTGAAACCCTTGGAATCACAGGGAATCGGTTGATTTCAGCAGGGGAGTGCGGCATGATTGTGGGCACTCAACGAAGCTACCACCATCATGGGATACCGCGTCTGATTAACTAGAACTAGAACAATCTTCCAGCCATTGCAGCGGTTCTTCATCGGCAGATGTATGCTTTGACATTGCGCTTTGGACCTGAACATTGAACTGTCTGTGGTGTTTACATTTTGGTGCGTTGGGACTACACCATTTACCTTTTCCCGGAACTCCTAGGCGTTCATACCTAGGTGGAGGTGTGGCATGTGGCATTCAATTTCAGTACGCCTTATCTCGAGTGTGGCTCCCCTTCGTGGGAGCCGGGGTGAGCCCGAAGAGTGCCCCATGGCCTTGCTGAGCAAGGGTTTGTCTAACTTCCCCCTGCCCGGGAAAGAGGTATCCGCAGCGGACAGAAGGAGCCTTAGCACAAACGTATGCCCGGATCTGTTGAACTACAGGAAAACAAGTAGGCAGCCTTCGGGCAAGCCAAAACGTGTCCGCAGCGGACTCAAGTCGCCCACCATTTTGGCATGGCACGAGGTGGCCAAAGCGGCCAGAGGTTTTCAAGGCCCATCGGGGGGGTCTGTCCCAACCTTAGGTGAACACAAAGCTCAGACATATCAAAGTCAGGCTAGTTAACGTGGGTCCGCTTTAATGAGGTGTTGCTTCGTTGTTGTTGGCGGCCCCTCCATCTGGCTCCCCCCATACTTGCCTCTCAGGGCCTTGTGGGCATGAGAGGACCGCAGAGGTTCTCTTTGCATCGTGCATATGGTGGGAAGCCCAGCCATGGTGGGGAGAGTGCGTCGGATTCATTCCCTCGTTGAATCTCTACAGGCTGATGCCATAGGCCACTAGGCTGATCGATGGTCCTTGGTTATAGCATGTTATAGCCACCGACTCCTATGGAACGGTCAAAGGCTTGCAGCAATGTACCGAAGTGCTCACTTTGAGGTACAGATTCTCATTGCAGCTCATGTCGGGTGAAGGAATGACATACTGTTTGTTGAATGCCTGTTGCAGGTGCGGAGAGACTCCCCTCAGCGCACACCTGCTTCAATCAGCCACTGGGAACATATGGGAACATCATATTTCATGGCAATGGCCTCTGACCTACTAGCGATGGCCCTCCAACGAGCGATGGCCTCCACCCTAGTAATTAGGGGTGGCCTCCACCCTAATAGCGATGGCCTCCACCTAGTAGCGATGGCCTCCACCCTAATTATTTGAGTATGTTTGAGTCTATTGAGTGGCCTTTTGGTATGTGGAAGTCAGGTATTGAGCTTGCAGGAACTAGTTTCAATTTGCCTCTGAATAAGCCAGACATCTTCATAGTTCCGACTTCCAGTGGGCCTGGCATTCTGAGTAGCTCTCTTTCAGATTCTTTCCTTTTGCATCAAGTGCTTCAGATTGCAAGATGCCACTCCACTTTGAGCTGACACGCGATTTGCGGTTTGCTTTTTGCAAAGCTGCCAGCAAGCCTATCACAAACGAGAGGAATGAGCCAGTCAAACCGGGGACATTGCAAGACAATTCCCCATATTAATGTTTTGCAAGCAGGATTTGGCTCGCATCCAAATGCAAAGCGGATCAACTTGTATACAAACTCCTTGACGGCCAAGGGTGGATCTTCCAGAGTACCCCTCGGAAGAGGTGCTGCGGGAGAAGTTATTGCAGGCGGAACTTGGGTCTGGGATTTGTGTGGTCTAAATGAGATTTCATTGCAATGGCCTCCAACCTACAACCTACTAGCAATGGCCTCCAACCTAAGAGCGATGGTCTCCACCCTCCTAGTGATGGCCTCCACCCTAAAGGCGATGACCTCCATGGCCTCTTTGATTATCCTTATGTATGGTTGCCCTCTATGCCATTATGTGACGCCATCTATATAGTGATCACCCGTTCATTGCAATGAAGCGTTCTGCCGGAGCGAAAGAAGGGGACCAGAATCGGGGCTATACTTCTACCAACTGTTGAGTTAGGATCTTCATGATTAAGGATCATGCTCGTATTGATTTCGATATGGTCTCCATGCAGATGTTTGTCCCTTATAGGTCGCCTTGCCCCGAAAACAGCCTGCAAAACTAAAGGCCCAAAAAACAATTTTTACTTTGATGATGCTTCTTAACACTTTTTCCATCTTGCCCAAGTCTGCAATTGAAGCACAGGCCGCTGGATATAGACTTTCTGCACTTTCAGTCCTTCTTCTGCAACAGCTTTCGGATTGCCAAACAAAACACATATCCGTCATAGCGCACATGTTGTCCGCATATCTATTCTCATACATATTTGGCCCTGGTGATGCAGAGACCTTTGAGCACCGTTCGTTGAAACACAAAGGCAATCCGACATGCGAATTTGAACATGCAACATGCATCGCTTTAAAGATATGCAACAGCACAGCTAAAGTGAGCTGTCGTGATAGCAAGATGGCAACTTGTTTTGAGGTGCCACCCTGATATGTATATATTTAAACAACATGATTCGATTTGGATTGGGTCTCCCCACCCTCCGAAACTCTGGGAGGCTGTCAGTGAAGGTCATGAAGGCTTTGGATTTGCATAGGCAAGCTGAGCAGGGCTGGGTGGGGGCAAGGTTCCCTGCTTCTCGGGGATGAGAGAGAGCTCTAGATACCCTTCTTGGCTTTAAACAAGTGGCCGACCCAAGCCAAGTTTGCCAAAGATCGCGGATCATTGAGATATTTGTTTTGGCAAAAAGATGAATGTGCTACAAATGTATGCAGAAAGGTCTGTGTGGGCAAAGAAAGGCTGCTGCAGGAGAAGGAGCTGCCAATTCCCGCTTGTGCCTTTTTGTCCGGTTTAGCAGCAGGCAAGCTGTTGCAGGTTCTTTTCCGCAGACATATGCAGAATGAGGAGCTCATAACTATGTGGATTGGTTTGAGGGACGCCTATGGGCACGATGGGCTTGCATCATTAGCTTGGGGAGGATTCTTGTGTTTATTCACAAGCGTTTGAACGGAACTTGATGTAGTTTTGTGGCCGGCTGGGCGGTCCCAGGTCGTTTGGTGGGGGTGACCGAAACTACCTGAATCCGGGTTTCCGCGACGTGTTTTGCGTCAACATGGGCCGTGTTGAGTCAAATTAAGCCGCAGGCTCCACTCCTGGTGGTGCCCTTCCGTCAATTCCTTTAAGTTTCAGCCTTCCGACCATACTCCCCCCGGAACCCAAGACGTATAAGAAGAGAACTCGTCAATCACTTTGCATGTTCTTGAACACCTGATGCGTTCAGATGTGCATGTTTGACGGGTTCAGTGTGAAGGTGCAATTATTCTGAGAGAGACTTGGAGCAGCTTAGGGACGATGTGACGAGTTGGAGTATGCCCCAGCCAATCATGAAAACTTGATAAAAATGTCTTCTCCCACATCGGAGGTTCGCCTCGCCGGTGTCAAGGAATCATGCTTGGGACTTGTCGCTTTTACTGTAGTCTCCTCGAAGCGAAGAGCGAGTTTGGCTTGGAGGCGTGAACCATCGTCACACCAGTGTGCTCGCCTTTGCAAAAAGTGCAACATGGTGACGTGTGCATATTTAGGGCAGTGGGGTTAGAATGCTGCCACCTGCGTGCCAGTCCCCAATCTCTCACCAGCAGCAGAAAAGGCTGCTAGAGAAGGGGCAATTAGACCTTTTGCTTGATTTGAATGATGCAACAATTTAACCAATTAAAGGCCAATGCCAGGACACTTAAATACAAAGACTAATGAAGCTGCAAAGTGTTGGGAAGTAGAGTTAGGTAGGGCTCAGCGAAGAGAATCATGGACAGATGCCAGCCGCACGAGAGCTTTGCCTGTTGATTGCACAAAAAAGAGCTGGAGCTTCCTCCAAGCGGTGCTTGGGAAAAGCAATTTCAACACCATGAGGCCCGAGGCAAGTCATCCCTCATGTGAAAGAGCCTGACACAAGCATATATATATATCTATGTATATACGATATATAAAATACACATATGTATACATTTATATGATTAGTTGTGACACCATGTGAATCCGAGACTCCTAGACGAGCTTTCAAAGGATATTGAACAAATTGGGCGCCTCTTTAGTGACTTTAGTGAACTTCAGTGCATCCTGACATGCCTGGCGATGTACAGCTTTAAGTACGTGTATGTATAATATAACTTATATATACATAATTTTGTTTTCATCGGATTTGGCTCAGATCGATACAATATCGCTCTGATGCGCAACCAAAGCAAGTACTCCCTGACAAAGCAGAACCCGAGCAGTGCATTGTTTTTGACCAGATCTTTGCAAAGTGGACGACTGAAGCGCTTCACATTGAAAAGACAGGCTACGTAGACCAGCTTACCTCTCGTGTAC